TATTACCATTCAATTAAGATTTTATAATTTAGTATATTTGTAATACTTATACCTATATTTTTAAATATGTTATTTTACATATAGATATAGATATATAGATATTTTTCTTAGTACAATGTGTTTGTAAGATACAAGGGCGGATCCAGGGGGAGGGTCGGGGGGTCGCGACCACTCTGTCATTCCTGAGGTCAAATGGGCTTCCTGTGGTAAAAATGCGACTGGGATTCCTTTGCCCACAAAATTTACCCCTGAGACCCCCCCTTCAAAAAACCCTGGATCCGCCCTTGAAATATAACAAAAAATTCCTGTTAATGTTCAATGCTTTAGCAATACCTGTAAATTGTAGGTCATGCCAATAAAGCTATTTCAAACCTCTCCTCTCCTCTCCTCTTTTATTATAGGTTCGACCCGAACCATTTCTTCTCTTTCAGTATTCACCTCTTACCTTTGCATTAACCCTCGATTGGTATTCGTCTCGACTGCAATACCTTCAGCGATTTTTCCTCTCTACAACCACCTTATACTAAACAAGCTCACTGACTATGAGCCAGTAGATGGACAAAGCCACCTGGAAAGAGAAGAAGTATATGCCAGCACTGAAGAAGACGAAGGAGAAGAAACGTTGCTCAAAACAACTAAACAAGACGACCGTGACGTCATTCCTTGGTCTGTGAAAATTACATTACTGTATAAAGCATTTCCCCGTTTTTATGCAGATTTCTTAGGCCTTGCATTTCAGACACTTGTTTTTTCAGTCATTTTTCACGACTTTAGTCTTCTCAAACTCTCCTTTCAAACCACGAGAACACTATCAGTATTACATACTGGAAGACTATTTGGCTATATTAGGAGATGTTGCAGTACAAGTAAAGAATCGTCTCTGAATATAGACATCAAATCTTGGTTAATGGTCGCTTATTCACTTTGCAACTTCATTGTGCTCTTTATAGCAATATGGTATCGAAGCATACCGAATGTTTGGATAGTTTTGGCGCTTGCTTTCAACACTCGTCTCATAGCCGGTACTAGCTATATTCTATCTCTTACTCCTGTATCAGATAACTTGAGTCATGTCGTATTTACGCGGTCTGCAACAGTGGTTATACACGGAGTGGCATGCGTGACAGCTGCATGGGTTGCCATCTTATAGGAACCAATGATAAGACATGAGCGTTGCTTTGAACTAACATATACAAGAGAATTTTGTATTGCTATAGATACATAGGTATTGGTAGTAAGCCGTGCTTTAATCATTAGATGTCTAGTTCCTATAAGACCACCTAGAGCGATAACGATAATGTATAGCGGAAAATAATTAAAAGGGAAAAGTATTAGAGAAAAACTCATTCGATTGACCCACTTTCACAGCGTGACATATTGGTGGAGAACCGCTGAGTATACCAAGATCCAAGAATGAAGAAAACTGTGATTTACAAGTTTTGGCTTCGATCGAGATATAACTCCATCAATACAGAAGCTTTAAGAGAATTGCGAAAAGTTAACCCTCACCTAAGGAAAAATTATAGAGGCAATGAGCCAAATACTTTTATGAAGACAAAAAGTCATTTTTCCAAAGCTCGTGAAATTGGTAGGGATAGGAATAAAATTTGCTAAGGTGGACCATACTTTCGAAGTAGGAAAATTATTCTTACGCATTACAGTATTTGATTGCACGAAAACTAAGATAAGAAAAATAGTGAAAGAGAAATTCGAGTAGAGACAAACCATCTAGTTTTTACAGTGCAGCTACTATAACCTGGGCCACTTAAGGTGACTCGACCCAATATTATTGCATGAGCACCAACCAACTTCGAACTTACATGAACTTAACATATAGACTAAATAGATTCTTCCACAGTCTCTCGCTCATCGGTTCCGTCACCACGCTTAGAAACTGTATGATCCCTCAAACGTGGACCCGGCGTGCTTTGGGAACCAAAATACTCGTCAACAGTCTCTTTCGTTCCAATATTTTCAAGATGGCGGCGAAAACGAGAAAGACTGTAGACAAGTATTTTGGTTTCCAAAGCACGTCGGGTTCAAGTTTACGGGAACTATAAGTCCTTTCGGTCATTGTACCGATACAGTCTCTAAGCGTGGAGACGGAACGGACGAGCGAGAGACTGTGAAAGAGTAATAGACTAAACTACAATTTAATATTTTTCTCGAGGAGATCGGATACATATCATGTGGTTATGACGTCACACCTGTTTTAAAATTTTTTAAACAATCTATATAAAGTAAAAAAGATAACTTAGTAGAGAATTATGAGACAGAATCGATAGTTTTACCAGTCGGGATCCCTGTGGATAAAAATTCATTTAACGGAAAATAAGACCGCAGAATTTTACTTCCGGCACGTGATAATAATTACTCATTAGAATTAATTAGAAGATATAACTAACTAAAAACTAGTGTGAGCTGCGTCGGTGTTCCTAACGAAACAGTAATGATAAAAAGGTATATTATACACCGTGAAAAGATGAAAAAACTTCCTGACGTTTCGGACTCCCTTGAAGGTACTGTACTGAAGGTAAATTTGATTAATTTATTAAAGGTGAGTAATCGCTAACAAAGCGACGCCGGCGCTGCTTGGCACGGATAGTACAGCGGTAAATACTCAGAGTACGTACAGCTGATTCAAACCAGAAAAACCGTTGGTGGACGTGGTAGATATATTCATATCGTACGGCTGATTCAAACCAGGGCAGAAAGACCATTGGTTGGAACGGACATTTATTTTTAAAGATAAGTGATCACTATTTAGTATCCATTTCAGAAACAAACATATATCAATTCAATCAGAATAACTGAAGCAATCACACATACATCTAAAGCCCAATCCGTCTGTCCTGGCGCCGTTACTCCACACCCCTCCCCCCTTCTTTACAATAACAATTCCTGTATTGGGCTACCTGTGTTTCACCTAAGCAGCATCGTGTATTTGATTCAATCATTCCTTCACTCGATAAGTGTTATTTATACATCTATCACTAGGTAAGTCTTACTATAAAACCATCAGCTTGTTTTCTATCACATTTGGTTATCCTTTAGTCTGTATTTCATAGATTGGTTATCTAACATCTGACAAAATCTCAGTCACAATTGAATTTGAATCTTTTAATATAAGCTTACAGCTCATATAGAACGTGAGACGAGTGCATTTATCTTCTTAAAAACACCAATCATTGCTTCATGGACGATTGCGAAACCTATATTTCAATGCAAAATAAATGTTTTTGTAATGGAGTAGTCATATAAATGATTGAAGAGCTTCATTACGCATTTATAGGGCTTAACGACCTTTATTTAAATATTTCCTAATATTGTTCATGATCATTCTGCATGTAAGATCTCTGTTGTTAAAGATCTTTTAGTTTTATTTAACTCCTTTCGTATTCTAAGAGCACAGTTTCTGTACATAACCATTGCAACTTTGAGTTTATGTTTTAAGAGAGCATTCACTTATTTTCAGTAAGGGGAGAGGGTTGGATGCTCAGGAGAAAAGTTAACTTCTTTTTTCATCCATCCTGTCCCACCCCACAATAAAGCTCGGGTATGAGGGTTGTTGTTTAGAACTGGATCCTTGTTCTAAGACAGGGCACAGCTGACTCACAGATCGAACCCTAAAACAACCTCTGTGCTGATCTAAGTCAGGGCACAGTCAACTCACAGATTGAACCCTGAATCAACCACTGTATTAATCTAAGTCAGGGTATGGCTAACTCATAGATTGAACCCTGAAACAACCTCTAGGCTGATCTAAGTCAGAGCATGGTTAAGTCACAGATTGAGCCTTGAAACAACCATTGTATTAATCTAAGTCAGGGCATGGTTAACTCTTAGATTGAATCCTGAAATAACCTCTGGGCTGATCTAAGCCAGGGCATGGTTAACTCATAGATTGAAC